CTAACTAACTAACTAACTAACTAACTAACGAAACTAAACTAACTAAAACTAAGACTAACTAACTAACTAACTAACTAACTAACTAACTAACGAACTAACTAACTAACTAACTAACTAACTAACTAACTAACTAACTAACTAACTAACTAACTAACTAACTACCTAACTAACTAACTAACTAACTAACTAACTAACTAACGAACTAACTAACTAACTAACTACTAACTAACTAACTAACTAATTTTACGTCGTTTAAATAAAAAGTCTTTAATTCATTCTAAAAAGTCGTCGTTTTACTAAAAAGTTGATGTTTTTTTAAAAATCAACCTTGGTACTAAACTGACGTCATTTTTTATTTGACAACAATTTTTACGGAAACCAAATATTCGATTGTTTTATCATGGGAAAGTTCGTAGCTCCCTAAACGGCAAAAATCGCAAATTACTCCTAAATTTGTGATCCGATTAAAAGTTTTTTTATTAAAGTTTTAATGTTTTTTAATGCCACTGGAGGGCAAATTATATAGACGTATTTTTTATACAAAACTTTTGCCATAGTAAAAAAAATCCCTTTCACATTAGAAAATATTAGATATAAACTATGAAAATATTTATTTATGAACTTTTAAAATATATTTTAAACACCCTGTTATTGTTTATAACTTTAAATACAACTCTGCATATTAAAAACAGCCAATCCAAGAAAGCAAAACAAAAAGAAACATTGCAATTTGCGCGTGTTTTTTAATTCCCTTTTGCTATTACATTCCTCTGCTACCATTGCATTATTTCAATGCCAAAAGAGGGGAATTGAAAAGAAAACAAAAAAACATTAGAGAAAACAAAAAGAGACAAGAATACAAAAATTTCTTTTTGTTGTACAAATGGCGGTTCATTAACAAATTGAAACGCTAACCGAACCGAAACATATGGGAAAAGTTAAATAGTTGTTTAAAACAAGGGAATAGTTTGGAATAGAGAGAGTTAAGACAGAAAAAGAAACAATAGTAAAAGAAGGTGGAAAAAAAGACCGACACAACGACAAAACACAGAAGAGAAGCGTGTGTGTTAATTTATAATTTTTTGTGTGGTGTTATAAAAGGCTAGAGGAATTATTATTTTATTAAAAAAAAACGGAATAAAATCAAGAAAATTTAATAAAATTTTGATTTTGTTATTGCTTTGCGGGCAAAAAGGAAATTGAATAAAAAAAAGTTTTAAAAATTTAAAGGAAATTGTGGGTTTTTCACTTTTAAAAGAAAGCCACAAAATACTTTAGAAAAGGTGAGTATTAGGGGAAAATTTGTAAAAGAAAATAACTTATAAAGTGTTGGTAGTTAATATTTTTGATTTGCTTGCGATGATATAAATTAGCAAATTAATTAAAAATTCATATTTTTGTATTTTTCTTTTTTTTCGCTGTGTTTCATTTCTTTCTATCAACGTTATGTTGTACTGTTGTTTTTGTTGTTGGATACTAATCTTTGATTAAACGAAAACTCTCTTAATATATGTGTGTGTGTGTATGTTTGCTTGATTGTGTGTGTTGTGTGAAAAACAAAGAGGAGGAAAATCTTAAAACCATTTTCTTCTCTCACATTTAAGATAGACATTGAACTTGTTGTAAAGCAGGAAATTTACAAAAATAAAAGAAAATTAAAAGTATTTTTAACTATTAAGCAAAATAAAAGAAAATTTTGCAAAAATTAATAAAAACTCAATTTGCTGATTGTATTAAATATTACGTCTTTTAGAGCTGCCAACATATCAACGAGCGTGCAGCGATCGATTGATCATTAAGTGGTTGGCAGAAGCAGATCATCATCATCACCCAAACCCAGCAACAGCCACCCAGAAGTAATAGTAGCAAATATTTTCTGCTATACACACGCACAGACACATATCGTCTCATCCAAAGGAAGAAAAAAAAAAAAGAAACACTATCCCCTGTTTGTCTAACAATAGAAGTCCAAACAAGATTTATCATTAACATACGCACTTTTTCAACATTTTCGCCTTCACTCAACTCAACACGTACGCAAGGTGCGCGCTTTAAGCAGCCAACATACATATAGTGACAAGTTCTTGTACAACAAATCAAAAGCCGCCAACAACAAATATTTTCTTGATCTGAAGAAAACTTGTAAAGGAAAAATATTACCCTTAACATTAGCAATAGCAACATAATTTTTATTATTTAACTGCAACAGCAGCAGCAACAATAAGAAAATAACAGCAACAACAACAACTACAGCAAACATGGAAAAAAGAATAGAATTGGAAAGACGCGCTCGTAAAGCTAATCAAGTAAGTTAATATGTGTATTTTATACTTTAACAATTATTGAAATATTTTTCTTAAAAAATTATGTTTCTTTTGATAAATAATTTCATAATTAAAAAAAAAAATATGAAGCAAATTATTTAAACAGCTTTGCCAACTGTTTGCACATAAATACCGTATCAAAATGTTGCCATATTTTTAAGTGGCAATTTGTAGCCGGCACTAAGCTGATTTTTCGACAGTCTAAATTTTCTAAATATTCTTGCACAAATACCTCATATTAAAAGACTCTATATCGTGTTTTAAAACCTAGTTCAGATTTAGGATAAAATTTTGGAACTCCTATAGTTCGAGTTTACATGTCCGCTTTTTTACAAGTTTGATATTGTTGGCGTTTATTGACTTTACTTTTTTTAAATTCATTACTCGCCTTTTTTGCAAGGTTGTGACTTTGTTAGGAGTTAGTCAACACTCAACTTCGACCTTTTAAGAAATTCGATTTATATAGGAATATTTTATAGGGTGCTATATATAGTTATGACAAAATTTCGACTTTTTCAATTTATGAAGTCAACATTCAGACTTTTTCAATTTATGAAGTCAACATTCAGACTTTTCAATTTACGTTAGATAGATAGATAGATAGATAGATAGATAGATAGATAGATAGATAGATAGATAGATAGATAGATAGATAGATAGATAGATAGATAGATAGATAGATAGATAGATAGATAGATAGATAGATAGATAGAAGATAGATAGATAGATAGATAGATAGATAGATAGATAGATAGATAGATAGATAGATAGATAGATAGATAGATAGATAGATAGATAGATAGATAGATAGATAGATAGATAGATAGATAGATAGATAGATAGATAGATAGATAGATAGATAGATAGATAGATAGATAGATAGATAGATAGATAGATAGATAGATAGATTGATAGATTGATGATAGATTGATGATAGAAAGATAGATAGATAGATAGATAGATAGATAGATAGATAGATAGATAGATAGATAGATAGATAGATAGATAGATAGATAGATAGATAGATGGATAGATAGATAAATAGATAGATAGATAGATAGATAGATAGATAGATAGATAGATAGATAGATAGATAGATAGATAGATAGATAGATAGATAGATAGATAGATAGATAGATAGATAGATAGATAGATAGATAGATAGATAGATAGATAGATAGATAGATAGATAGATAGATAGATAGATAGATAGATAGATAGATAGATAGATAGATAGATAGATAGATAGATAGATAGATAGATAGATAGATAGATAGATAGGTAGATAGATAGATAATAGATAGATAATAGATAAATAGATAGATAGATAGATAGATAGATAGATAGATAGATAGATAGATAGATAGATAGATAGATAGATAGATAGAGATAGATAGATAGATGAGTCTGGACATTCATCTAAAACACCTGTCAGTACTTATATATTTCAATGTGTAATAGAAAATCGAGTTCTGTAGCTGGAACAAAATGTCAATTTTTCTACTTTTTGAATTTTTGAAAAGTAGATTTTTCGACATTTTTCACCTCTTCGAATATTTTCCACTTTTCTAGGGAAAATAAATAAATGAATGTAGTTTCTTCAATGAAGAATCTTCATAGTTGAATTAAAAATAGGAAGAATTTTGGAATGTTTTTAAATATTTTTTAATCAGAAAAAATCAAAAAACTATTTATGTCTGTCCTGTCCTAAACCGATTCGGTTTCAAAACCGAGAAGGTTAAATTAATATAAATGCTATGGGCATTTTAAACACTTTTTCATTTAAATATATTTATTTTTCTGAATTTTGCGTTCAAATAAAAATTCGATTTACAGAACAACAAATTCGGTTTTAAAAGCTTCTCGGTTTTGAAAACAAATCGATTTACAGAACAGACATGATTATGACTTTTATCAGACATTTATTTCAAAAATCGATTCTTCGAATTTGTATTACAATATAGTCGACTTATCGATATTGTTAGGACAAAATGACGTTTTCGACTTTCAATTTTTCCAACATAAAGGTTCTTCGATTATTTTTAGTCAAATTAAAAGTTGAGTTTTTGCAATTATGAAAAGTCAACTTCACTTCTTTTAATTTACGAAAAGTCTAGTTTTTGACCTAACGTCTTTAGTAAAATCAGATTTTAATTAATTTTTTATACCAACTTTTTGAACAAAAAGTTGACTTCGACTTAAAAAAAAAACCGATTATCTAGGGCCACTTTATAATATGAATTTAAATAGTTAATATGTAGATAAAATTCCAAACTAAATGACTCATTTTACAAAAAGATAATAAGTTTCTATATTATATTAATATAAGTTTCTATATTAAGATTATTGATTTCTATGAACTGTGGTAATAATATTATTTTAGGCTCAAGTTCGAGTCCCACTGAAAAAAGCTCGTAAACTTCGATCTAACTCAATAAAGTTGAATGAAATTGGATTAAGGACTTTGTTACAATACCCATATTCTATTTCTTCAAAACTTGTGAGTTAAATAGATAACTTTTAAAAGTGACATAGCATATAGCACAAGAAGATTGCTGATGAGGAGCCCTAGCGGGCCCGAAAATGCATTTCATTCTGTTGTTGTGCCCGAAAAATTAAAATTTTCAATATTTTTATAATTAAAAATATCATTACAATTTGGAAAAATTTAATCCCTAAATGGGACTCAAACTCGATCAGAAATAATATTCAATTAATTATGATAATAAATTTCTTTATCGCGATGAAATTCTGATTGGTTCATAATTTATTAGACATATATGAACACATAGTTTGAACCAAAAAAATTTATGTGATTATTGCATTTTAATTTATTTCAAAATGCAAAATTATCTTGTCAAGTTGAAGCCCTGACTAGTGAGCATTATTTCGTTTTTTTAAAATTGAACATGTCCTAGCAGGAGTACATACCACTTAAAGGGAATGTAAGAAGATCCTACCACTATCAACTGAATTATTAGAACACTGTACATATTTTTCTTACTTTTGCAACTACTATTGGTGTAATTATTTTTGTCATTTACAAAAGGATCGTCGTAAACAAAAACTTACGAGTTTGAGGCGAAAATAAAAAACAATAACATCAAAGCAATGGGTTTTGAATAAAAGGTTTTACAAAAAGTTATGATATTTAGTATAATAAAATCCTTATTTATGTATAACAATTAAGGTCATCCTTTAAATACTCTTTAAGTACAAGAAAGATCCTTTGCATTATTGCCAAACTTTTTTGTAATATATTGGATATAACACAACTTTTTGAAACCCTTCTATATTGCGAATATATTGTGTATATGTAAAGTACATGTATGTTGTGTTATAGACACAATTTGGTATCATATTACGAAGAAAATTTACATACATTTCTTTATAAATTTTTAGTAGTTGTATCGTCCGTCGTTACCTAAATGCGGCAATACACACACATACACATAGTCATTTATTAAAGATACAGACTGGTTGGAGCGGAGGGCCCATATTCACTAACTACATTTATGCACCAGGAACCGTTATTGAAAATAATTTTCATTTATACTGACATCTGTATATAGTTTCTTGGGATTTTATCCATCTATACGTAAACACGTAAATATGATACATATGTATGTATATATAATGGTATGTCTGAGCTTTGTTGTACATATTGTTTTTTTTTTTTCGATGGAAAAGAAGCATATACCATTTTCAGAAACAACTAACGAATGAAAAAAATCAATAAATTTTAAAATTCAAAGAAACACCATAAGGTAAATTTAATATTTTTGAAAAATAAATTTGGAAAAAATCATAATGCATGTCTTCTAAAGCTTAAATTCTTAATATTAATTTTTAAAACTTTAAGTCAATGGACGTTATATCCTTCTTTGTATACATTTTGAGAAAATCCCAACAAATACCTCTTAATTTTACTTAAAAAATCCAAAAATGTACTATATTGAATATTATATGATAAATCTAAAAGATTTTCTTAAACATTTTTAAATCACAAATTGTATTGAACTATTTATCGACAGATCTGAAACAAGTGTGAATTAAATTTTTAGCTTGTTTCTATTTTTCGTTTTTAAACCAGAATGAAATTTTTTATTATTTTTAAATCTAAACTGTATTGATACAAAATTATTTTTTAAGTTGAAAGTATTTTTATAAAATTATGTAAAGTTTAATTGTATTGGCTACATATATTCCCCCCTAGAGATGCTGCTAAGAAGGATCTCTAACGAAATCTAAATCGAGTTTTCCGAACTTTAATTGGTATTCGACTATTTCCTTGAGGAATTTGTTTTAAATTTGGAATTAATGTCAACTTTGGATCTTCTTCCAGATCCGTGTTAAAAATGTAGGCGGGTTTTAATCTGTCAATTGATATAACTTTTTCGGTTCCATTTACATCCAATGTGAAAAGTTTTTGTCTTCTTTTAATGACACGGAAAGGACCTTGATATGGGGGTTGAAGGGATTTTTTTACACTGTCTTCTCGAACAAATACAAATTCGCAGTTTTCCAGATCTTGAGATACAAAAACTGTACGATTTGTTTTATGGACTGGTGTAACCGGTTTTAATGAATTCATTTTACTTTTGAGGGATTTTATGAATTCATTTGTTGGCGTATTATCAGATGTTTCGACAAAAAAATCTCCGGGTAAACGAAGAGAAACTCCGTAAACGAGTTCTGAGGGTGAACACTGAAGGTTTTCGATAAAACTTGCACGAAGACCCAACATGACAGTTGGTAGGATGTCATACCAATTAGAGTTGTGATGACACATCAATGCTGTTTTAAGACATCTATGCCATCTTTCGATCATGCCATTTGCAGATGGATGATACGGGGATGTACGAATTCGTTGAGCTCCCAAAATATTTCCAAGCTCTTTGAAAAGTTGGGACTCAAATTGACGGCCTTGATCCGTTGATATTCTGAGTGGTACACCATATCTTGAAATCCAATCTTTGTAG